AGAAGAGTACACCTTGGCTCTTTCTGTTTGGTCTCCTCATCTCTCTCACTCTTCATTTTTCTTTGGATTTTCATTTATTGTAGACGGCCAAATTCACGTGTTAATTATTCAAAAAAATTGGAAATATCCTTAAAATTGCGGGCATATATTTGAATTATTCATTGTTCCTTTGCTAATTGGGTAGGAAGAACAATTCATTCATTGAATACTTAATTAGAGCACAATGAATTTTCAACAAAAAGAAATAATATTAATTATGCAAGAAATTCCACTTCATTACGAGGATAAGTTTGACTTTTAATTATATAAATTACAACAAAAATTATTTTTTAATCCATCAAAAAATATGATATGCCTACAAAGAAAGAAAAAGAGCACATGCATGGGTGACAGAGAGAATCAAGACTCTACAAAAATTTTGGTGTGATAATTTGACAAGTATATGTAGCTTAAAACAAAAGGGCAAGATTTTTATTTTTATTTGAATTTTAGATTTGAATGGTTAGTTTATGTCCTTTGTTGACATTTTTTCTCCCTTTTTCCACAAGGATGGGAATAAAATCACAACCCTAGGTATAAAATATACTAACGTAAATAGTAATTTTAACAAAATTATGCGTTATTTTATTATTGACATATCTTACTGTAATAAAATTATAACAAATTATTGTAGAATAAGAATAATAGTGAATCGAAGTCCATGGAGGGTTGTGAGTTGCTTGTTGATTAATTGAGATTATATGTGTAATTTGTAAGCAAATTTATTTGAGAATTAAAGGATTTGATAGTAGTGTCGGTGAGGTTCACTTTTGATTATTATAGTAGGGTAGTAACCGTGCAACTTCTTGGCTCTTCTATTTTGTCTCCTCATTTCTTATTATTAATTTTTTATTTATTATTTTTTTGCATTTAATTTATTTCCTATTATTAATTTTTTTTTTTTTTGCATTTAATTTATTTTCATGTTGTGGATGGCCAAATTAATTGTGTAAATTATTCTGAAATTTTGGAAGTATTTTTAAAATTATTTGTGGGCATGTTTTTGAAGTACTCATTGTTCTTTTGCTAATTGGCCCCATTTGACAACTTTTAATCTATTTTTTAGATTTTTGCAAGCATTTTTTTTAAAGCTGGTCTATTTTATACACTGAAATTGTACTAAAAAACCTCTTCAATTTAACTAATCGGACTAATTTAGTTGGTCACTCCTATACATTCCTATCTCAAAAATCCAGCAACGAGAGTTGCATTGACTAGCTTATTTTTTCTCATTATAAACTATTTATTGTGGTAGATGTTAAACTTATAAATTGTTGTTTTCCTGCTATTATGAATTATTTCTAGCAGTGATTATTGAACTGTAATTGTTCAGATTAATATAATTTTTCTTATATTTGTAATTAATCTTTTACTAATGAGCAAAAAAAAAAAATACTGTTAAATGTATAATTCCTCAGATATGATTTACTGTTTTAATCTTTCAACCATCTCCCAACTATTTTTGTGAACAATTAAGACTGCATTTAGGTAATAAATTTGTGGAGAAATTTATAAAGGGAAAAGAAATGGTAAAGAAAAATTGAATGAAATTGATGCCAAACTTTTTTAACTTGTTACTTTTTTCTTTACTCAACAAAGTAATTTATAAATTTAAAAGAATAATGCTATATGTACCAATAGTTTATTAATTAGTGTACTAATTGATGATGTGGCATGATTTAAGAGGTTTTTGGTATTTATAATGTGATTAATGAATGAGATCAATAATAATGTTATAACTAGTGTTGGTACACTAATTAGTATATTAATTGATACATGTAACATCACCGAATATAAAATTCAATCAAAGCATAAGGATTAAATTCTTTCCCGTGAATTGTGTGTGCACACCCTTGGCCTTCTTGTATGGCGGTGTTTGGGGGAAAAAAAAATTGGGTTTTTTTTTTTTTCACTAAAAGACAAAGTATTTGCAAAATCAAAAAAAAAAATTCAAACAAAATATCACATCCAACCCCATAATCATTTCACATTTTCTCTCACAAACATCACATCCAATCACAAAAAAACCCAACTATCTTTCCAAATACAAAAAAAAATTTCTTCAATAATATCTTACAATTAAAAAACCTACATAAAAGCCTACTTGCCAAACACCCACAATATAACAAAGGGGAAATTACTATTCAGGGTAAGTTTTGAAAAATTATTACAAAATGATAAAAAATAATATATTATAATTATAATTATTAATATTTATAATCTTTACCCTTTTTTTGTAAATATTTTTGTAGACACAACTGATATGCAATTCTCCCAACAAATTGGCCTTGATTGAACAGGAGGTTTTGGTTACGTCCCAATAATATCTCTTTACATCTACATATGTAAGTTTTTTTTTTTTTTCCCCATAAATGCAAAATCAAAAAAACAAATCCAAATAAAATATCACATCCAACCTCATAATCATTTCACATTTTCTCTCACCAACACTGCTACAGACCCCCACTGGGGGTCGACCCCCAGTGACGTGGCGCAACGCCATTCGCCAGTTTTTTTTTTTTTCTTTCTCTCCGCATTTTCCTTTCTCTCACAAACATCACATCCAATCACAAAAAAACCCAACTATCTTTTCAAACACAAAAAAAAAAATTCTTCAATAATATCCTACAATTAAAAAACCTACATAAAAGCCTACTTTCCAAACACACACAATATAACAAAGGGGAAATTACTATTCAGGGTAAGTTTTGAAAAATTATTACAAAATCATAAAAAATAATATATTATAATTATAATTATTAATATTTATAATCTTTACCCTTTTTTTGTAAATACTTTTGTAGACACAACTGATATGCAATTCTCCCAACAAATTGGCCTTGATTGAACAGGAGCTTTTGGTTACGTCCCAATAATATCTCTTTACATCTACATATGTAAGTTTTTTTTTTTTTTTCCAATAAAATACGAGTGTTACAATGTATAAAATGCATATTATAGTGATAATTTAAGAATGCATTTAAATTTGGACCGTTTCGAAAGTCTCTTTTTAGTGTGAGTTTTCAAATATGTTTCTGAATTTTTTTTTGTAAAAAAAATTACAAACTAATTTGACAAAAATAAACACTAAAAAAATATATAAAATTACAAATTAATTTGATAAAAATAAACCCTAAAAAAATATTTTTTGAATTTTTAAAATTTATTTTGGCCCGCCATATGTTATGAATATGTGATTTGAGTTCTTAGCTGCAATTCCGACAAATGTTGTGTTTTGTACTGAGCATATGATGATGATGAGAATGTTACTATTCCATGTTTTTTACACCACCCCCACACCCCACCATATGTTCCACATGTTTGACCACAACCCTATACAAGTAGGTCCAAAATTTGTTTCCGCCCAAAGTTGGTCTCCGTCTTTGACTCTACCTAAATCCAGACCAGGCCCATATGGTATTAACAGCTTGCAGCCATTTGGTGAGCTCTCCCTTCCTAAACTTCTAGATAAAACAAAAAAATAATAATAATAATTGTATTCTATCCGTCTCAAAATATTAATTTCTTATTTTATTTTTTATTATCTCAAAATATTGATCTATTTTTAAAAATCAAGTACAAAAATAATATAAATTTCTCATTTTGCCCTTCTTTTAAATTCAATAACAACATAAAAAATATAATTATGATATTGATATTCTCCAAAAAAATATATATATTATCAAAGGGTGATTTTGAAAAATTAATTTTTTTAAATTGCAATAATTGTATTACTAAAAAAATTTAGATTCACTACAAGAGACCATTATTTTAAAATGGAGGGAGTAATTGTTATTTCAAGCAAAAACTCACCAAATGCAGACGGAAAAAAATAAAATAAAATTTGAAATAAAAAGTATGGGCATAAAAAATGTGTGAAATAATTTCGACAAATGAGTTGTGTAGTTTTATAGATAGATATAGTAGATTATATTATTATCTATACCGTTATATAAAGTGCATATCACAGAAACTTTTTCTCAAAATTTTTTCTTTCAAACTTTTCGAAATTGTTCTTATCTAGCTGCAAAACTTAAATTTTGTAACTGTTTCAGATTTTAATAGCACGCCTGTTGGGGGTGTGCACGTCATCTTAGTGCTTTTTTGAGGTATGATAATAAATAGATGATCATGTAAGTTAAGCTTTCTCATACTATGGCTATCAAGGATATTTATACATACACTTGATTTTTTATCATCAATAATACAGTTTAACACTTGAAATCAAGCACAAAAGTTAATACAATATTGGTTAGCAATACCAAGGATTGGCAGATGATTACAGCACCCTCAACACCACATGAAGTACAGAAATTAACATATAAACAACCCTCAATCATTATATATATATTTTTTTTTACAATTAGGAAGAGGGAAGCTATATGTCAAATCATGGCAAGTAAGGGGAGTACTTATCACTTTAATGAAGTTTTAAGAATGATAAAGCTGGTGTTAGATGTGTGCAAGGATTACTGCAATCAGGTTCACCAAAATAAACATAAATTGAAGAATTTATACCAATACTTATACACAGTACTTAAAACTTGAAAAAGCACTAACAAAAAGATTTTATCACATAACAAGAAGCACTACCATTCCAAGAATATGTACCATTATTTTCTAAGGCCACCTCAGATGATAATGAAAAACCACTTATTTCTGATTTAGAGGTGGCACTATATGTCTACAAGGGATTATTTTTGGCTTTATGATGTGTGCAACTTGTGAAGGGTACAAATGCAAAGAAACCTGGAAACTTATCTAAGTATGTCATTCTAGCAAACTCAAAATCATAGAATGTTTAAATGTCAGTGTATATAGCCATACTGCTCATCAGCATCTAAGCTTTTTTTCTTCATGGAATTTGATTCAGAACAAACAGATTTAACTGGAAGAAAAAACCTGATGTGCCAAAACAACGTAACAGATGACATATACTTCAATGGGTTAACAGGAATACATTGCATAACAACGTAACAGATGACATATACTTCAATGGGTTAACAGGAATACATTGCATGCCAGAGTTAGAAGCCACAAAAACAGGTGACTGAGATAAATAAGAAAAGACACAGGCTACCATACAGAAGTTGACAAGTTGCTTTGGAAGCAAAGAAATAACCTAAAACTCACTATACTAACGAGCAAAGTTTGAAGAACTGCCATCAACTACATAATATCAGAGTCATCATTTTCTCTTTCTTTTAGAGTTTTTGTTTGAGTTAACCTCGAGATCAGGTTTTGCCAATGGTTCAGGCAACTTGGCTCCTATAGCAGAACTCCAAACAGCTCTTTCTACATCTGAAGGTGTGAATGTATCCCCTTTTGCACTCAATTCCTACAAATGGTATTACCGCCAGTTGCATCAAAGAGCAGCCATAATCCATTAAAGTAGGGGACTTTAAACAAAAGAAACCCATGTGCAAATAAGAGTAAGATAGTTGATGAAAAGCATATAAATTTGCAAAGACAAAGACAATTACACGTTTGTAACAAACAACCTTCCACCTTTGAACTACCAGGATGACTTTATGAAAATGAAAAAGTTAAGTGCACCATCCTTCATTAAAAAAAGAAAAGAAAAAGTAGCCTATTTTAAAAGTCATAATCTCAATTTGTCATAAAAAGACTTGAAGTTTTGTTGAATATGTGGGAGCATCATTTGGTATGCATGCATACAGTTATGAAACAAATGAAAAACTTGGACCCCTAAATCTCAAAATTATATATCTCAAAAAAATATGCAAAGAAGAGATATGCAAATGCACAAAGTCTCCTCATAACCCATTAAAGGATGACTGGAGAAAGAGATCTCCAGAATGGTTCTGACACAAACATTACAAGAGATAACAGGATTTAAACAACCCCAAATGGCATCAAATATAACCTGGAAAGGACCCATGTCTGTCAAGATGGACACAAGTAACCATGTATTGGAGTTGGGACATACAACTTTGCAAAACAAGGCTATATATGTTTATGTGTGTGAACATGTTTCAAAATTACTATACAGAAAATACATAGTTCCATAGCTTAAATAAGTGGCGTCCACATGCAAAATAACCATCACTTGTTAAACAACTCTGAATATGGTGGATATAAGATAATGTCTTGAATAGAAAGGTATACTGCTCGTCTTTTGAACTTCTTTACATGAACGGAGATAAATTCCTTTACAAGCTTTGACACAGGGAGCAGACAAGGGTGAATATTGTGTTGTTCAGCACACGACTAACAAGCCAGTCACTAATGAAAAAAGTGCACTACATGTCATAAAAAAGCATATTGGACATCACTACTAAGACATTTGAAAGATAGCCAGAAGCTCCAACATATGCATTCAAATATTTTCTACAGCAGTTTACTCTAAAAATGACTGTCCATTCCATATATTTTCGAAAAAGCAAGCCTACTTCTAAGGCATTGAGGATGTCGAAGCATACCTTTAATTTCTAGATTACCAATGCTTCAGCTCTAATGAAATTGTGCAGGTGATATCTAACAATAATTGTTGAATTGTTAATCATTAATTCATCTAAAAGCTCAAACAGTTAAACAGAGAGAGAACTTAATTATTTATATTATCAACATGTGTCACACTCTCATCCATAAGTGGGATTTTGTTTAGTTTGGAGTTTTCAAAAACAGTTTTTTGAGTTTTCAATTTGTACTTTTAGCGATGCTTTAAAAATATTTTAATCAATTTTTTTTAAAAAAAACTTTTGTGATCCATTTAATATTGATATACTTAAAATATATATATTTTGTACAAAAAACTATAAAAAAATTCATTGAATACAACAAACACAAAAATATACTGAATTTTCGTATTTTTTAGTAGTTTATGTATTTGATGAATATTTTTTAAAGTTTTTTTCACGAATATTTTATTTTTTAAGTGTATCTAGATTCGGTGTATTTAAAAAATAAAAAATTTGTGTAAAATATTAATAAAATTTACTAAAAATAAAAAAATACAAAAAACAGAAAACAGAAAACTCAATTTTTAGAAAAACAGTGTAAACCAAACAAAGTAAACGATCGTCCTATAATATGTAATGTTAAATTGTTAACCACCACTCATCTAAAAGCTTAAGTTGTTAAAAAGAAAGGTAACTTAATTATTTGTATCATCAACTATATGTTGAAGGTCACCCCATGTGAAAGGGGTGATCCTCATGTCAACAAAGGAAGACAACCAACCAAGTCAAGCTTGGTGGCCACCAACCATAGCAAAGGTCAAGAATGGAGGCTACCCAAGTCAAGAATGAAGGCTCTCCCACCTACTCCTTTGTGTATAAATAGAGACGGGAGGGAGAGGATGAGATACAGATCAGAAATTAGAGAGTGAGAGCTGTGAGTTGAGTGAGTTTCATCTCCTCCTCTGTATTGTGTATTTTGCTCCATTTTAGTGAAAACTTCTCATTTCTGTCCGTGGATGTAGGCATTGGGCCGAACCACGTAAATATTGTGTTCCCTGTGTGTGTGAGATATATTTCTGGGTGTGTTTGATCCTAACACTATAGTCATGGCACCACCTTAAGGTTTGATTAGCAGGATTAATAGTGAGGGAATTAACTATCCATGGGATTCGTGTAGAATTACTTATCCAATTGGATTAGTGGAATAAATATTCCCCTCTTATCTATGTTTGTTTTGCGATGGACATAGAAATATATAATCTCAATTTTATGTTTGTTTTGCATGATTAGTTGTAAAAATTCGCCACATTTGTTGGATAAAATGTCCATTGAAATTTAATCCGGATAATAAAAATTACAACCAAACACTATAATGTGAGCCTCATGTATTAATAATCTTAATCCTTTTCTATAATCTGTCCAATCAAACCGGCCCTAAAAGAACTCAGATGAAATACCCACATCCTAGAGATTGAATATAATGACCATACCACCGTCCAATGAGTAATCTTGATTTGTGGTAAGGACCACAACAATGTTGGTTTAGTGGAAGACAATGCTTGTCCATTTTTGCAGCATTTTATTGGCCAGTGACATTGGTGTAACTGTTACACAATATTTTTTTTCCACATCCTTATATCACTTTTCTTAACTGTCACTAATTGCATATAAGTCTTTCTAGATTATGGTACAAAGCAATTCTAAAAAATAGTGCTAATAATTTCTGAAATGCTCATATTCAAACATGTTAGCAAATTACCAGCAAAATCAAATCGAATCGAATTGAATAAAGAAAAAGGAAACCACACCTTTGCTTTGGCCTGTAGTTTATCCACGAATAAGATATACTGCTTCAATGTATAATCTTTGGAGTTACCAAGTGCAGCAACCATAGCCTTTTCACCAACACATTTTATCAACGAAATCTCAATCAACGAAATTCGACAAACAAATCAAACAACAATCTCACCTCATCAGACATGAATGGCGCGACATCAGGCGCATAAGCTGCGAGAACAGCAGAGGCAGTGGCCGGACCAACACCTTTCAACACCGTGAGCTCCGAAACAGCTTTAGAGATATCAGGCAGAGATTGAAAAGCCTTCTGAGAAGCCGATTTCACTAGGGCTTCGTCCAATGACGAAACGAAATCCAATAGCCTAGGCCTGAAACTCACATACACAATCAGCAATAAATACATACACATATAGATATATAGTTGTAGAGAGAGAGAGAGAGAGAGAGTGAGTGCCTCCATTTGCCTCGAGTGAGCTTCCATTGCATGAGCTTGGAGAGCTCGGAGGTGGTGATGTGAGGGTTAGGGTTTCGTTGATGAATGAGAGGAGGGAGTTCGGTTGTGTAGAAGTGGTCGAGAGAGACGAGGTTGGGTTTTTTCAGAGATTCGATTCGGAATTTGTAGGAAGAGAGAGACTCTTTCCATAATTGAACATCGGAGCTTTTGAATTCCATCTCTCCCGTGTATTTAGTTGGGGGTTTCGGTTTCAGTGTTCATCACTTTTCTCGGGAAATTTGACGGTCGTTGGGGGGTCTTTTGGATTTGAAAATTTGAACCGCCTGATTTAGGTGGGACCCATGTGTGATGGAGGGGCCCGATTCGTCCATCAACTCCCGGGTTTGTATATTTATCAAAAAAAAAAATACAGTGCTGCTACAGACCCCCACTGGGGGTCGACCCCAGTGACGTGGCGGACCTTCATTGGCCAGTTTTCTGTTTTTTTTTTTTTCTTTCTTTCTTTCAATCCCGCAGTGCCACGTGGCACTGGGGGTCGGTGGGGGTGGCATTTGCTGGGGGTCCGGCGCATTTCTGAAAAAAATATTTGGTAGTCTAAATTTTTGTGATTCAAATGGTTCAAATTTGTTAAATGACATCGTTTTACACTCATTTGCATTCAAAACGACGACGTCTTTTTGAGTCATTTGAGTCATAAAATTTTGAATTACCACATTGTTGTTTATCAAATCGCATCTCATCTCATAAACAAATACTTTCTAGTCTCATATATTTTTGTATTGATCTGTTAAGTTGTGACAATCTTGACTTATGATTAAGGGTTAAACCATGATTAAAAATGCCTAATGAGTAATTAAAGTGAAAATTTTGCATTAATTACATGTGTTATGTGCTATATGAGTTTCTACCTATTTTTTGTAGGAATATTTGTCTCTAATTTTGTTCTGTTTTGCGAATTTAAGGCCTTATCGGTATCCAATTACGAAATTGACTTGATTTATGTGTTAGTTAGAATTTTTAGAATTTTATGGTAAGTTTAATTAAAATTCGATTTCGGACGCATTAAATTCGAATAATTAAAGTCAATTTGCCTAGCTTAAGTTAAGATTAATTAAATTTCCTAAGCAAGCCTATATAAGGCCTATACATACCACTTGAGTCACCTTTTCCTCATCATCTTTGAGCCTACAAGGGACAAATGTGAGATAGAGAAATAAAAGACCAAGGGGGTTGAGATTAACACTTGAGCTTAGGAGAAATTGCTAGAGAATTCAGGGAATTTGGCCTGGAACCTTAAAGAATTCACCAACTAGAACTTCATTGAGAGGTTGAGGTAGGAATTTCACCCTTGAATTGTATACTATGATGTCTAGACGATAAATTCAAGAGAATTTAGCTGAATAATGTAAGGATTGAGCCAGATTTGATGAACTTCAGCTATATCATGCATGCATGCACATTTTCTTACATTTTGAATTAAATTTCAAGTAATTCTCACATGTATGTGCTAATTCTACCTTTGTTTTGAGAATTCATCTTGTTTTTCATCAATTTGTCTCATTTGATCATGATTTGAAAGCTTTGAAGTTAATAACTTCTATGCATGTCATGTTTTCAACATGTTCAAGTTTGAGTTTGAGCAACTCGCATGCTTTTGGGCATTGATTTTACGAAATTACTTTCATTTCAAGAAGTTTTATAAGTTATATATGTGTTTTATCAACTTTAGGCTAAAAAAGATGTGTTTTGAAAGGTTAAAGTTGGATTTTGAATCTTTGAGGTGAATATGGAAATTCCAGAATTCAACCTCACCGCTCGAGTGACAAATCCTGCGCTTAAGCGACCACCTTTGTTTTTGCACTTCCGCTCAAGCGACCTAAAGTTGGCTTGAGCGTAAAATGCGTGCTCCTAGAGGTTTATCTTTTTTTGTAGATCGCTTGAGCGACAAGAGTTGCGCTCGAGCGAGGACCTCAGTCTCACACTTGGGCGACCGTCAAGCAGCCATCGAGCGGAGAATTCACACAACCAGTATTTTTGCAGAGGTTACAGACTGCTCGAGAAAGGAAGTTACGCTCGAGCGACTACTCGTATTTTTGAACCTCCACTCAAGCGAGGCTCCTGTTTTCAGTATATTTGCCAAAGTGTTTTCAAGTACATTTTCAACATCCTCATTGGGTTCTAGGCATTCCTAGGCCATGGTTAAGACATAATAATAAGGATAAAACTTAAAAACACACTAAGAATGAATGTATTGGGTTAAGTTATATCTTGGCGTGTGTTTCAAGAATGTATCTGTTATGTTTGTGTAGGTCACACGTCGTTAACTCTTTGAATTATCTACTTTGTCTGTCTGCCTCTAAAGCCAACTGTGAGTAATAACTTAGTAAATGCATGTTCAACTTTATTTATTTTTTGTATGATGTAATAAGATTTGTTTTTCTGAAATGCTATCTGGAATGCTATTTGTGAATCATGAATGAATGTCTAATTTTCTGAAATGTATTTGTGGCATCCATAGTTCACGTGACCCTCGCCCGGAGGTAACATTACCGTGACTGATATGCACGTGGCTCTCGCCCAAGGGTGACAATACTGTGGCTTATGTTTATGTGGCCCTCGTCCGGGAGAAACAATACTGAGGCCTATGTTCACATGGCCCTCGCCTGGGAGTAACAATACTATGGTTACTTGTGCACAAGATGTGGACCTATGTGGTTGTCAGTACTGACTATGCAAATTTGATATGATATGATGGCTAAATGGATGTACCACATATAACTGCTATAATCTCTGGTTAAATATTTGAAATCTGCTATGGGACATCATTCATTAAATTCTTTACTCTATTATTATTCACTGGGTTTTTATTCACTATTTATATTATGTATATAGGTGACCAGGCGCGTGACAAGGCCTAAGCTGTTACCTGGAGTTTTGGTGTGTCAGTCACCCTTTTGTGGCTCCCGAGGATGTTCCGAATTAAGTCAAGCCTTGCGGCCATATTTGTAAACGTTTAAGACTTTGTTTTCTGTTGATATATGAGCAAACTTTTGTTTATCTGTATATGGGGCTCAATTCCCTTTTTGCGCCATCTGTAATGAATGTGACGTAAGACGACTTTATTTTTTACATCACATATTTGTATATAAAATTTTAAATTTCAGTCTCATATATGTCAGCACAGCTCTATGGGCAATGTGTTTTATATATTTGCTTCCGCAGCCCCTAATTATATGTTATTATGTTCAGAAACATTTGGTAATCTAAGGATTACTGGCTGATTATGACGTTAAACCTATAGGGACGGGTTTGGGTTGTGACATAAGTCCTATTAGCAGAGAGTTTCTTTCCGTAGGGTTCTATTTTCGATTTTGATAGTATTTTGGTAGATAATTATATCATTTTATTAATGTAACAAGTATGATGTGACATTCTAATATGACAAGTATTAACGTGACACTCCAATGTAATGAGTATGATATGACACTCTAAAAAAATAAAAAAAATTCTTAATGCACTTTTCTTAAATGTGACAACGTGGTTAGTATGATGTGACACTCTAAATCTTTTACTCAAAAAATACTAAAAACTCTTTAATATATTTTTTTCCAAATGTGATAATGTAGAGGGTATGATGTAACATTTCAAAAAGACTAAAAAATCTTAAGCCTCCGTTTGGGAAGTGGGTTGGCTTTTTTGTTTTTTTGGCGATTTTAGCCTGGGCTAAAAAGTTTGGTTTGGGAATGGCTTTTTGGCTTTTTAGCTTTTTGGTTTTTTTTTACTTTTTTTATGAGAGAAGAGTGTAATGATTATGGGTTGGATGTGATGTTTTATTTTTTGTAGCTAAAATAGTCTATTTTATCTTTTGTGGTTAAAATAGCCAAAAAAGCCTGGAATAGCTCTTCCCAAACGGACCCTTAAGTATAGTTTTTTCAAATGTGACAACGTGGCGACTATGATGTGATACTAAAAAAAAAAATTAAAAACTCATTAGTATACTTTTTCTAAATGTGACAACGTGGCAGTTATGATGTGACACTCAAAAAAAATTAAAAATTCATTAGTGTACTTTTTTCTAAATGTGACAACGTGGCCCAAATATGATAATGTGACAGATATGATGTGACACTCTAAAAAAATTAAAAACTCATTAGTGTACTTTTTCTAAATGTGACAACATGACGGGTATGATGTAACATTCCAAAAAAATTAGATATTAGTATATTTTTGCTAAACGTGTCATGTGATACTTTAACGTAGTGGGTATGATATGACATTGCAAAAAATTTAAAACTCTTTAGTGTACTTTTTTTTTTCTTTTAAATGTGACACTCTAACGTAACGGACATGATGTGACATTAAAATACTTCTTAGTATACTTTTTTCAAATATGACACTCCAGTATGGTGGATAAATGAGTCATTACACATAAAAAATGACTAAATAGATCACAAAAAAAAATATGAGACTACATAGTGGGTGTTGGGAAGTTGCTATTTTAGTATGTTATTTTCGTAGGCTAAAATTTTGTGTTTGGAAAGATAATTGATTTTTTTTGTAGTTGGAGGTGATGTTTACGAGAGAAAAAGTGAAATGATTATCGGTTTGATGTGATATTTTATATTATTAACTATTTTAGTCAATTTTATCTTTTTGTAGATTTTGATCCAAAAAATTAAAAAAAAACTTTGCCAAATACCCTCATAGATTATAGTGGGTGTTTGGGAAGTGAGTTTTTTTGTAGGTTTTTTTAGTCGTAGGATATTATTGAAATTTTTTTTTTGTGTGTTTGAAAAGATAGTTGGGTTTTTTTTTAGTTGGATGTGATGTTTGTGAGAGAAACTGTGAAATGATTATGGGGTTTAATGTGATATTTTGTTTAGATTAGGTTTTTTTTTAATTTTGTAACCAATTTATCTTTTAGTGAAAAAAAACAAACCAAAAATCTTTCTTCCCAAACACCCCTTATAGTCTAAAATATGAGATTCATGAGTCAATCTCCCTTTGTACTTTCTGGTCTGTTTGGTTACATGGAATATTGTACTTTACTCTGGGTTTATAGATAAGAATGTTCTATATCCGTTAAGGAGATTCTATCACTAGATTTCTTGCTTTTTAGCATAAATTGACATTTTATCCAATAATGAGATTAGGAACAAATAAAGAGAGGCCACTCAATTATAAAAGGTGTAGTGGTCAAATCTAATAGTTTTCTTCAACGGTCTTGCACTTAACTTAAATATTTTTAATTCTAATTTTGAAATTTGAATGTTAATGAGAGGGTAGG